TGATTAAAGAGTAATCAGGTTAATTAGATATGAAAAATAGAGTGAAAGACCAGGTTAGGGACAGATCATTATGGAGAAAGTCTGTCTATGTAGTTGCTAAGAGTCAACACCAACTGATGGCACATAATCAAAATAGAGTGATCCACTTCCACAGCATTTTATTTTTCTCCCAGTGTTCTAGACTATATGGAGCCAGAATGTATCCAGAACATGATGAACCATTTATTTGTCAAATTTATATATCCATCCATCATACAAAACAAGTGGCTCTGGGCGGCATACAATAAGCTAAAAAGCAGTTAATTACTAAATACAAAACACTATTATCATTAAAAACTATGAAAAACAAAGCTAAAAGAAAATATTGGGTGAAGGGATGTTAATAATAACAGAACCACCTCAATAATTCATCTGTCCCCTGCGGTCCCCAGGCCTGATGGCCCAGCCAGGTCTTGAGGGACCTTCAGAAAGTCAGTGATAAAGCCAGCCTCACTTTATGGGATAGGATATTTATTTATTTATTTATTTTATTTATTTAATTTGTCCCCACCCATCTCCCCACAATGGGGAGATTATATATATATTCTATAGCGCAAGCCCCACAGCAGAAAAGACCCACCACTTAGGGCTTGCCAAATGTAGCTGACGGGACCCATAGCGTGACCTCTCTGCTGGATCTGGTGAGATGGGCAGATTCAATAGGGAAGAGGCTGTCCCTCAGATAACCCAGCCCCATGCCATGAAGGGCTTTAAAGGTCAAATCCAGCACCTTGAATTGGACCCAGAAATAGACTGGCAGCTTGAGGAGTAGAGGTGTAACGTGTGTTCTGCTAGAAACACATAACTGTGCACACCGCTGTATTTTGCACCAGCTGAAGTTTCCAGATACACTTCAAGAGAAGCCCGAGGTAGAATGCATTACAGAAGTCCAACCAGGAGGTGACTAGGGCATGAGTGACCATGAGTAGAGCCCCTCGATCTAGGAACAGGCACAACGGCTGCACAATACAAAGTTGTGCAAAGGCCCTCCTGGCCACAAATGACGCCTGTTCTTCAAGCAGGAGTTGTGAGTCTAGGAGAACCCCCAGATTGCATACAGGGTCTATTTGGGGCAGTGCAACCCCAACCAGCACCAAAGATGACATAGTCCTATTTCCTGTTTCCTCAAAATGCACTAACTATCCTGGAACACTTGGATCAACCTGTTCAGTGAAAAACATGAAACATTTCAGAGGCAGAATGTTCCATTTTACACATCTAACATAACTCTGTTCAGCTTCAATTAAATGTAAATGAAAGATTAGTTTGGATCCTGTTCCCACCCCCCTCATCATTTTTGGGAAACACAACACACAATCCCAGATGAGCCCACTGGTGTGCTGTAATAATGTGTCAAAAATGGTGGTATCATAAAACCGGATCAAAGTAAAAGATGGGTCTCTTCTGTTTCTTTCATTGGCTGAAATTTTGAGAGTGGAGGACAGCTTACCCTGCAGGATGTTCTCACATGTATTTAGGGGAAGACTAGAACTGGTTTACTCCATGCCTATCCTTAAAAAACACATCAGAGTATTCTATTTTGAAAATTTCCCACCCCCATCTGTGATATCACCACTATTACATATGGTGACCAAAATCATTATCTCCCAATTTTGTGTCATTTGCAATTTCATAAACACCCCCGCCACTTCTTCTTCTAAATAATTAGTAAAAATGTTGAAAAATAGTAGTGGATCCAGGAATGATCATTATGGCCCCCACTCAATACTCCCCACCCAAGTTGATGAGGAACCACTGAAGCGGGGTCTTTGAGTAAGATCTTTGAGCCAACCTTGTATCCATTAATTCAGTGTTCCTCAACCTTGGCCACTTTAAGACGGATGGACTTAAAGCATGGCTAGCTGGGGACTTCTGGGAGTTGAAGTCCACACATCTTAAAGTTGCCAAGGTTGAGAAACGCTGCTGTAGAGAATTGCCATAAGAGATGAAGCATTAACTAGGAACTTTGACACCTCTAACATTGTGGCAGATTTAAAGTTCAGTGTTCTCTGGAATGTGAAAAGCTTTGAGAGGGAGGCTTAACCCTGTATCCCAGCATTTCCACATCTGCCTGTCTTTATGCTCCCCTTTTAACCCTGATCAGTTACCTGAAAAGCCAGCCTACTTTGCATTGGCAGAGCATAACCTTTGCAGTGTGGAACAAGTGCAGGAGGTTGGGATCGTCCCCGTTCCCACTCTGAAAGTGTGTTGGGATTACTGGGGTGGGGGAAGAAGGATCCCAACTGTTTCCAGTGACTGGATCCAGTCCAGAGGCAGTAAATGCTTCTGTGGCTAACACCAGCTGCCCATTTGAGCACTGGGGCAGCTGCAGTCCCCTTCTTTTCACTCCCCCACCATCTCAACAAGCCAAACATTTGCATGCATACCAGTTCCAGAAGCCAACCTTAGAGTGAGTGAAAAGAACATTTGTTGTACTGCCTTGTTGCTTATCAGGAAGAGCACTGCAACTCCACTGTTGACTGTCATTTCAGTCACAATAGAACCCTTTGGGCTTTCTTGAATGCTGGGGTTGATAAACATGGGACTATTCCATGTAGAGCCCAAATTCTGCTCATGAGGCTACAGAAGGTCATCCCACCAGTCAAGGACCATCAGTGGTTTGCTATGCTCACCAAAAAGTTGCTCTTCTACAACAATAAAATCAAAGTTTGCCCAGTCAAGAATTCAGCAGACTGATGGGGAACAGAAGTTGCAATTTAATGAGCTGGGAAGAAAGTCAGATCATCACTGATGTCAACCAAGACCATTGTTCTGTGGACTTTGTAGACATTTTAACTTACTACTGTGATTGCCTTGATGCTACAAATGGGTGAATGTAAAGGCTTAAATATTTTGGCACCACCAGGGAAAAACATTGTGGGTTTTCCACTACTTAAGATAGGCCTGTAGTCTAAAGTCCTGAGATGGGTGGAATAATGGGAGGGCTGCTTGTTTAAGCCAGTCTGGGTCAAACTTTAAACTCAATTTAACCAAAACAAATTTAACCACCAAAAGATCTTTGGTGCTGCATGGGGTTGCACTGTCCCACTGACCCTGTGTGCAATCTGGGGGTCCTCCTGGACTCACAACTCCTGCTGGATGAGCAGGTGGCAGTTGTGCCTAGGAGAGCCTTTGCACAACTTTGCATTATGCGCCAGCTGTGCCCATTCCTAAATCGAGGGCCCTACTCATGGTCACTCATGTCCTGGTTCCCTTCCAGTTGGACTACTGCAATGCGCCCTACCTCAGGCTGCCGTTGAAGAGTATCTGGAAACTTCAGCAGTTATGTGAGTTTCTGGTAGAACATGCGTCACACCTCTGCTTCACGGGCTGCATTGGTTACTAGTTTGTTTCCAGGTCCAATTCCAGGTGCTGGTGGACCGGGAACGGGACTGTGCTATTTGAGGGACTGCGTCTCCCTGATTTCATCTCTCTGTCCCACCAGATTCATCAGAGAGGGCATGTTATGGTTCCTTCATCTACACTTGGCAGGCCCCAGGCGGTGGGCCTTTTCTGTTGTAGCCCCTGCATTGTGGAATCTTCTCCCCTCAAGCCAAGGTTGGCCTCATCACTTCTGGCCTTCCGAAGGTCCCTCAAGACCTAGTTATGTCAGCAGGCCTGGAGACCACAGGGGATGGGCGAACTAGTGAGGTGGCTCCATTATTATTAGCATCCCCCCATCTATTATTTTTTTTAGCTACGTTTTTCTAGTTTTTAATATTTTTAATAAATAATAATGATAATGGCGTTAGGTATTTATTAAGCATTTTAGCTCTGTTGTACGCTGCCCAGAGTCACTGGCTTTGTGAGATGGGCGGCTATATAAATTAGGCAAGTAAATAAATAAATAAATAAATATTAGGCGGGCGCTATTTTTTTTTCTTTTTTGCTTCCCTGCCCTATACGCACTGATTTTTTTTTTTTTTTTGAATAGTATTTTATTGGAATTTTACAATTACAAAGTTAAAAGTTAGAAATGAAAAAGAAAATTGAAAATACCATTAGAATACCTGGAACAACATTTTCTTTTTCTTTTACTTTACGCACTGATTGTGAAATAATGTCTGTTTCTTGGCCTGGCCTACTTCGCAGGGCCAATGCCTGGTAAGCCCTGCGATGCATTAAAATAAATGCCATCCTGTGAATGGAAACCCACATGAAGAGATCTTAGTGCATAAGGGACCCAAAACATTTTTGGTTGAAACAAAAAATGTTTCTCCTTGGGAAACTGTCAGGGTGCAAAATGAATGAATCCATTGCAGGCGGAAACTGTAGGCCTGAGGAATTTGCCAGTTGCTCACCAGCCCAGATGGAACTGCTAAACTTAGTGAGAATGCGGTTAATTGTATTTTGAAATTTGCATGGAAAAATTTACAACAAAGGTAAGTTATTTCGTACCTAACATATCCCCTTCTTCTATTCATATTTTCTTAAAATCTTTGTTGCACGGGATAAATAGAGTTCATCATCAGTTCTCATGAAGTTTTAGGATAAAAGCAAACAGTTGTGCCCCCTCATCCCCACCCCGATTGGTTTTGAGATGTACATTCACTATTCAGTATTTGATATGCTGGCTGGGAGATTTAGGAATTGTTCCAACATATCTGAATAGTATGATGATCAAGAACGGTGCTGTATATAATGAGTAGTAATGCCATGCATTTTGAAGTCTCTCCTCCTGGGAAAATATATTTTAGAAATATATGTTGGCAGATTCTATGAAGAGACGGTTTTAGAAGTATGGGGCATTGTCCTTTCATATTATAAATGGTGCAACTGCAGACATCTATCTCAGAAGTTCTGTTGCCTTCATCAAACCTTTACTTATTGTCTTTTAATGTAAGCTAAGGAGAGGTCTCCAAAGTGTTCTGAAGCTTCAGTAGGCCCAGATTCCATCTGCAACAGGCAATTAGAAGGGGAAAGCCTGATTTTCACAAAATGCCCAATAACTGTATCTTTAGTAGATCTTTATTTCTTGGAAAATGAGCTCATTCACAACAGAGCACATAACAGCAAGGAAAAGGATCTTGAGAAGAGATCAGCAAGAAAGATTGTGAGCTGGAAGAAAATTCAAGAAGTCCAGATGCCTGTTTTGACAAAAAAAAAGATAAAAGGAATGCACAAATTTCAGAACATCATGTCAAATTGTTTGGGGCAACCAATTCTATTTAACTACAGAGCAAGACTGCAGGGACACAGTTCATCCTCAGGGAAATGTCACAGACTTGATTCTGAAGTCTCCTCCCACCATGAGATAATCAATGACATTAAGCTCCAGCCGGTTGGGGAAGACAATTTCTTCACTCCCTTCCATGTTCACTCGGATGTCATGATCGATAAAACTGAAGGTGATCTGGAAGAAATCAAAACAGGAAAATCGAGACTGATCTGGGATACAAAACTCTCTTTGGAATTCCTATGTTCTGAATACATGGTTTATCAAAGCCCTGTTTTACAATATGAAAGAAGAACATTAGGTTCTAATCCAGGATAACTCTGAAGTAGAGTAAACCTACAGGGTACAATTAAGGGAGTTCCCCCTAAAGTGCTATCCTGGTATATGGATCACTAGACACCTTTTCTTAGAGACAGTGTAATGTTGCTGGGTCAAATGATTGACAGATGTTTCCTCAGTGTGAACTAATAGTTACAGCATGATTGGAGATGAGTTTTAAAGAAGACTGTAGTTACTCTCTCTTTATATACTTGTACATAAAGAACTTAAGACCTTAAATACTACTCCCTAGATTTTTTTATGATAAAACAGAATGACAATTGGGTCCAATTATCCAAGGATCTCTTTCATAGAAGGTCTCCCAGTAAAGGTGTGAAGCTCACCCTCATCAACCTAGGTACCCACAGATGCATGGAATTCAGTTCCCAGAATTCTCAGCAATGCCTATAGTAGCTAGGAAATTCTGAAAGTTGTAGTTTGCACATCTGGAAGGCACCCAGATTAAGGAAGTTTGCTCTGAGTTTTCCATGATCTGATTCATACATGGACTCATCCCAGATGTATTTCATACACTTTCAGATTTTTGTGTTCTGCAAGCTAGCCACAATAAACCACCATGGTTTATGGCTTATCATGTTGTCTTTACTTAAAACATTGGATTAATTTAAAAAAAAAACAGCTAGTACATGGTGAACACACATCAGCATCCTGGAACTTGTATTCTTTAACAAAAGAACTCTTTGGCATCTCTGATCTAAAATTCCTTTGGATGCTGTAACAATTAAGTTTTTAGACTTGGCATTAAGATGGCTCAAGGCATTTTGGCACCTAAAATTTATTGAAACAAGCAGGGGAAGAACATCTCTCTGCTTCTATCAGGAATATGGATCTGTAACAAGACTACCTTTGGCATACTGCAAATGTAGGAAAAGAAGATGTTCTCACTTTTAGTACCATTTCCCCAGGTCTGTCACTGCACACACATGCAGAAGAAGCAGACTGGCTAATTTACATGAAGATCTTTATTATGCTTTTGGGTGAAGTGCTTCAACATCTGGGAGTAGCTTCTATGAACCTTGAGAGAAGAAGCTGCATGTAAGGTCAGGCGAGAATCCTTTCCTGCTCAGAAATGGGAACCTCCAAGATATGTTGAACCAACTTAGCCAACAGCAAGGTTGATGGGGGTTGCTCAACCATGGCTGGATGGCCATGGGTTCTCAACACTACCAGATTTCCATAGAAGTTGGAAACATGTCACATGAAAGAGTGGCTTGTCATACAACCCTTGCATTCTAATTCTTCTGTACTTACAAGTGGAACTAACATATGTAACGCAGTAGACTCCCTATTTACACAATTCCTCCATGGTGTCCATCAGAGAGAGACAAAGTCTGCTCTAGTGACCCCCTGCCCCACTTCATGGCTGATGCACTGCCAATACGTTCTCACCTGAGTTTCATGATCCTGATGAAAAGGGAAGACAGATGGCCTCACCTCTTCCTCCCAGACACCGGCCCGCTTGGAGTTGCACACTAGAGCTCTCTCATCGCCCTTGCAGTCAAAGCGTGGGTTGAAGTGGAGGGCCAGGTTGTCGCAGTCTTTGCCCAGATTTATCACAAATCTGAGTGTAGGATTACAAGGGTGAGAGAAGCATGAACACAACTAGGAGTTTCAGGGAGGGGGGATGGGATAGGAGGTTGCTCACAAGGAAGGAATGAGGGCAACATTTAACACTACTAATCAGCAGGGCTATCTCTTGTTAGGAAAACAAGACTCTTGTTAGGAGTCTTGTTAGGAAAGATCAACAGCCACCATCCAGATCTATTTTGGTAAAGGATTCCTTTCTCCTAATCTTCTCCAGCTAAAAAAGATATGAAGAAGATTGATGTCTGTAAGAGAAACCATTTCTGCATGGCACAATGACTTGTGGACAGCATCTGGAAAACTTATTTAAGTGGGTGGGTGGGGTAGCTGTTCTCTGATGAGTGGCAATGAAATTTGCTGAGGAATTGTTAAACAAAGTGAGGGCAGGTCCTACAGCCTTAGGGCCACTGACTCCCCCTCTAAAGTCGGACTGGCCGCAGAATCCCTCCAAACTTTACTGCCACAAAGCCAAAACTTTTAACTGACAAAAATAGGAAATCATTAACACATGTAGGAGAGCCATGTTAGTCTATGGTGTTAAAAAATCAGGAGTCTGGTAACCTCTTCCCCAACTAACAGATTTTATTAACAGGCATAAGCTTTCATGAGCTGCAGCTCATGAAAGCTTACACCCATTAATAAAATTTGTTGGTTGGAAAAGAGGCTACCAGACTCATCACATCAACTTTAATAGATTTAACTGAAGTTACATTTAAATGTAATTTTCACTGTGACCCTTTTCTACTTCTGGGATTCTGAAAGCTGTTTCAAAGCCAGGCATTGCTTTCAACTACCTCCCTTGTACTTAACTTGTAATGTTTATACCTAAACTCAAACCCAAGCCAAACTAGGTAGGTAGCAACATTGGGCCAGTCTGGGTTGATCTCAGAAAAGCTCGGTTGAATCAGACCTCATTGGTATTTGGGTGAGAGGCCACCACAAAATCCAGAGCTGGGGGCTAGAGTGAGATGTCAGAAAAATATCACGTAAGAAGGTAACAGCAAACCACTTCTGTATGGTTGTCAAGAATAGTATTAATGTCATTAGCAGTCAAGCCTGATTTTTTTTGTGTTAATATGACTTTACAGGTAGTCCTCATTTCGCGACCACAATTGGGACTGGCAACTCGGTCATTAAGCACAGTGGTACTAAGGGAAACCACAACTGTGCTTATGATCTTCCTTCAGCTTTCCTTTGCTTTACAGGCCTGCAAAGGTCATAAATGCGAGCATTGATCGCAAAGTTCCTTTTTCATCACCATCGTAACTGCGAACAGTCGCTGTATGAGGCCAGACATTTCTACAAATAACAGAAGCCAATCGTCTATGAGCATTACACCCCTGACCCTTCCAGGACCATTCTCTCCCTCAAGAGGCAAAACGTGGGAGATCTTTGTTTGTTTGTTTGTTTGTTTATATTTCTGAGACTAGGTACTATAGGAGGATGGCAGGAACCCACAACCCAACTGAAGCGGCTTGAAGGAAAGCCCAAACAGCCCCCCAATTCCACAAACCCTTGGCCCAATTCCTCCTCTTACTCTTTGCACTCTGATAAAATCGTCCCCTTCACTATGAGCGATTCTCCAGGATGAAGCTTAAATTCTGTTGCGGTCACTCCCTAGGAAAGAAAATAGTGGATAGTTTAAACAGCTGTGGGAAGACTGATAAGGGCTTTGAATGTGGGCTCCTCCACCAAGCCATTTTTGACAAGTGTTCTCCCTCCCCTGCTCACAGGAGGAATTCCCGTGGCTCCAAATTTTGCAGCTCCTTCAGGGCACCCTTATGACCTATTTGGACACAGACTGTTGGGTTCCTGTCCATACCGTGTGTTGCTCAACACCCTAAGGACAGTGGCTGATGGCTTTCCCTGGATGAAATTCAAACTTTCTGTACTGCGAGAAACACCACCCTTAATCACCATACAGAAAGTGTGCTGGGTGCTCATATGGTCTTACACTCTGTTTGATTATTGTTCTATTTTTTTAAGACTGTCCATCTCTCAACCTAATCAACCCTAGATGGCACCAGGGTCTACAATCTAGATCAGTGTTTCTCAACCTTGGCAACTTTAAGATGTGTGGACTTCAACTCCCAGAATTCCCCAGCCAGCCATGTTGGCTGGGGGATTCTTGGGGGTGTAGGCCACACATCTTTAAGTTGTCCAGGGTGAGAAAAAACG